TTAAGGGGTGTTCATACGGCAACATTTGCTCCGGCGCTACGCCGGTGCTGCGCCAGTAGAGCGTTCACACGTGCAAAGTTACACCGGTGTAGTCCTTGAAAACAGCTTAATCCGGAGCAAATTTAACCCACCTCAGGGAGGTGGTTTAAAAATTTGCTCCGGAGCAAATGCTCATTTGCAGGGCAGCACTGATGTAAAATGGTACGTGTGAACGCTACAATTTGCTCTGGAGCAAATGCTTGTTTGCGGGAGGGGGGAGTAGCCTCGCTACGCATGAGAAGAGTTGATTACATACGGCGAGAATGCGTTTCTTTCGTGCTCTGTTGTACTTCCGTCATGTGTTTGTTTAATAACGACACAAGACATGGCTGGTAACAGTAGCAAGCCGCACCTTGCCTCTTGGGTTATACCATCTCAACTAGAACGGGGGGAGAGATAGTCCTCAAACATCATCTTTCCTTTTGTAGGAGACTGGACTGTCTCGGAGGTGTTTGTGTAGTTTGTTCCTTTGTTGTGTGTTCACAACCCTCCGCCCCCCATAGAATTTATTTTGTGACTTCCTCTCTTGATTTTCTGTTTGGCGCATTATATATTTGCTTTTCTGAATGTCATTGAAGTCATCGTTGATTTACGTTTTCGGGGGGCGGTCACTGAACGCCTCTCGAGCAGAAGGCACGGAGACCGAGAAGTAGAAGGGCGTGCCTGTACAGCAGTTGCTTGAGTTGTACGTTTTAAAAAGAACCAACATGACAGCTCTTTTTGTTTTCTATCGTTTTGCTCCGCTGCAGAAACTGCCGTGTGACCGCAAGTGGGGCTGCACCGGCGCTATGCCGGAGTTAACACGCTCAGCGGCTTTGTACGTGTGACCACTCCACAAAATTTGTTCCGGTGTAAGATATATCGCAACAAAATACATCGGTGCAGCACCGGAACAAATGTGTGCCGTGTGAACACCCCTTTAGACAGTTTCCATTCTCCTTTGGTTAAATGGTTGCCTGACCGCAGAGAGGTTATTTTACAACAATACTGTAAATCCAAATCAGTGATGTGCATGCATGAGTTGTTTGGATTTTATTTTGAAGGTGGGCAATGCTGTTCGCTGGTGGATTACCAAAATGCAGTTTTAACACAGTGTAAATAGTATTAACAATTATTGTGGGACTTGGCTTGACTTGACTTGACTTTCCGTGGGGAGGCTCGCCGAATCCTGCAATGATGTCACGGCCCTCCACATGCTCAAGAACATTAAGAAAATGAAGGTTGTGACCCTGGCTGTTTTAGCTTCCTTGACTTTCAGGAAGACACTGTCTTTTCCTTCAAACTTTTCACCCTCTTTGCAAGGTCTGTTGTATTGTCCTCATTACTGCTCACTCACTGTTCTAATTCCGCAATGTGCTCTCCCATCGTAGACAGCTTCCCATTCATGCCATTCAGATTTTTTTGGTCTGTTGTCCATTTTGGGGTCAAAGCAGAGAAGTATTTCAGATTTAAGTTTATGAATGGCCGACAGTGTCAGGTTGCCAGGTGGTGGTGGACCCCAAAAAGCAGGCAGGAGGGAGGAGCAGGGTGTACTTGAAAGATTGTATTAAAACTCAGAAAACGTGGGCATGGCTGTGGCACGGCTCGTCGTAGACGTGAATGTAACTCAGTTCAAACAGACACGTGACGAGCCTCGGCTCAACGTGGATGCAGACGGGGCTCGGCCCACCGTAGACGCGGCTTGACGAGACAAAAACATGGGACAGCCGCATCACCAGCGCTGCCTGAAGGGGAAAAGGGTGTCGGCCGCAGACGTGCTCCGCCAGGCACATGGTGGAATAGGGACGAGTCCTTTGTACCTGCGGGGTCCAGTTGGTCGGGTCATTCTGTCACGTTGCAAGGTGGTGGTGGACCCCAAAAAGCATGCAGGAGGAAGGAGCAGGGTGTACTTGAAAGATTGTATTAAAACTCAGAAAACTAAATCCAAAACAAACAAAGTCGAAAGTATCAAACAAAACATGACTGAAGATAAAACATAACAATGACCAAAACCTGACTGAAACAAACATGACAGCAGGCAACAAACAGCAACAATGAACCGACCATGAGTGCTCGGGCTGGGAGTCCTTTTAAAGCACTAATTACAAAATGACCAACAGGTGTGCAGCTGCAGGGAGAGCCCTACAGTGCCACCTGTTGGTCCCAAACCGAATCATGACAGACAGGAGCATTTGTTGAAATGTTTGAGCAGTCTAGTTTCGAGCAGGTACGCTAAGCAAAAAATCATCAACCATCCCTCCATTATCCAAGCCGCTTATCCTCACGAGGGTCGCGGGCGTACTCGAGCCTATCCCAACTGTCTTCGGGCAGTTGGCAGGGTACAGCCTGGACTGGTTGCCAGTCAATCGCAGGGCACACATAGACGAACAACCATTTGCACTCACAATCACACCTTGGGACAATTTACGCAGGTGCCGCACAGTTGACACACAGTCAAATACAGGAAAAACATTTTAAAGTGTCCTATACCTTTCAGTCCCCCAGACCTCAATGAGTTTGGTCGCTTATTGTTTTTATTTCACCAATCACCATGCATGCATGCAAATAGCATGCGGGTGAGATGCACGTTCCTGGTACCTTGCTTATCGAACGTGGTCCATTCCATCGTTTTGAACTATTAATTTCCACACTGCACTTGCTCAGTGTGAACGGTCAGTGCGACAACGGGTTTATAAGAGCTGACATAGCAGCCTCCTAAGAAATAAAAAGCGAGGCTTTTCCCACTGCTTTGGACAAGAAGAAAACTGCACCTTGACAAAATATATGTATGTTGCACATACAGCACATTTGACAATAACATTGAACTTGATACTTGATATATTTTTCTTTGTTGCAAAGAAAGCCCTGGCTTTTCTCATTTTGAGATATCCTTTACATTTGACTGTTGATAAATGCACAATATTTATCAACTCATCCTCCATTGTCCTCATGCCATTTCTTCAAAATAAGTCAGCCAAAAATATCCATAAAAATCTCTTCAACAGTTCCTCTCCTATAAGAAGCCCCTTCTGATGTCACGGTGACACCATTCTCAAATAGAGCTCGGTATGTTGACATGCATCCCACAATGCGCGGCACCAAATGTAAACAACTGTCAGGTCTATCAGGCAATCAGACCCTTCAGACAAACTTTTAAAAAGAGAGGCGAGGAGTCAAGCAGAGTTGTCTTTCACTTGTGCACGAGAAGAGGGAACTAGTGTAATCCATTATAATCTCCAAACAGCTCTGGAAACACTTTGCTCATCTCCCCCCTTTTATTGCCACAGGGCGTGTCCAATCACAGAAACTTCTAAGGGGTGGGGAAACACAAAATGTATTCCTCGGTAATTGGAGGAGTCATGTTGACAGTTGACTGTTTGTGACAGCACTTGTGGACGCGTCACCGTTGATGCTCCTTCTATTTGGAACTACCTTCTGCTACACGTTAAGCAAGTACCCTTTCTGTCCATTTTAAACACTCTTCTTAAAAACACTTTTTTATTCATGTGTTTGAGTCAGCATTTTTAGTGTTTTATGGTGTTTACTGTTTTCATGATTACATTGTTTTAACTGTCTTTGTTTTTCTATATCTATTGTTACTCGATGTAGTACAGCGATAGTTGTGCTCCATAAATAAAGTTGTGTTGAGTGGAGATCGTCCTTTTCCAACCACAGCTCCAACACATCTTCCCTCCCCATCACTGCCAGGCCCGCAGGACTCTCCTCTCCCCATCATTGCGGCATCCCCGGGAACGATTGGGGCGACGGAGCCATCAAGGCCACCGCCAGCCTCAAAGATTGCCCTCAACCAGAGGCAATTGCTCTAAGACTGCAAGGGAAGCTCAGCTTCCCCTAAATTGTCAAAAAAACAAGTGATCAAATATGTGTGTGTACATACAATTGTGTGTACATGTCATTGACTAAATATGCGCTCCAACGTGCTCAACTTCTGTTCTGAATCGGCTTCTTATTACTGGTTACGACGTGACTCTCTTCTCATTCATTCTCACAGCTTCACTGTGCTTTAAATTGTGTGGACGCTGAGCATCTACAGCACGGTCACTGGGCGTCTCGAGAGTAGCCCCAATGCATTGAAACGAGACGAGTCATTGGATAAATGCTGGTTTTGTCCTGCCCATCGGACGCTCAGCGTCTCTGGGAGTCTATGGACAGTGGGCGTTTATGGGCTCGCCCGGACGCTGAGCTTTTCTGCATGATGATTGGATGATCTGTCTGAGGCTGAATCTCTTTTTGATTGACAGCGAAATGAGCCAATCACTGATCTTTTGGTGGAGGCATCCGTGGGAGCATTTTTCAATTCTCATTCTGTTCTGAGTTGAACTAGAGACTTTTTCTAATCATTTTAGCGACACTCTCTTTGTTGAAAACGACTAGCGACAAATTACTCTTTTATTTCTGGTGGGTTTTATTGTACAGTAGTTGCTTGTGTTCGCAGACTGATTTATATCACCACAGTTTCCCTGGAAAAGACGCCATGTTGGTATGACAGGGTCACAGATCATTTTCTTGAAAAGGAACGGAGAGTAGAATTCACGTATAAATAAACGGACACATTTTATGATATAGGCCGAAAATGAGCTTCCACTCCTTGACAGACCAGCATCCGCCACTGCCTTCAACCCATCACCTTCCCATCACAGCGATGGATACATTGAAATCTATTTCTATGACACTCAACTACAACTACTAACTACATCAACTTCTATACTGCAGTACAACTCTATCAGCTATGACTGCTAAATTAACAATTGCATGTATGGAATGACAGTACAGAGCAAATGTACCTAATAAAATTATGAATATTACGACAGAGGGGACAACTACATCTACAGTATAACAACTACTGGCACTGGACCAACAAACTAATAGAAGAAAATACTGTAAATATAAACCACAACAACTTTGACATCTGCACAAAAGATCATAAACGCTGTAACAACTACATCATTGTGGGTGTGCAGGCACAAAGCGCGTTTGGATGCCCGATGAAGCAGAAGCATACGTTGAGGTGGAGGTCCGAGAACGGAATGGAGACAAAACTACAGTGGAGACGAAAGATGGACGGGTGAGTTCACTCAGATTTATGTATTTGTGCTGTATGGTCCTTTAGCTAAATAGATGAAAAAAAGAAAAAAACAAAGATTTACTATCATGTGATTTTGAGAAAATTGTATTGTGCAGACCTCAAAAGTCAAAATGAAAACTCAGGGCTATTGTAAAAACAAATAAGGTGACTGGTATTAATTGGTGAATCGTGTCAGGGGTTCGACGGAGCCTCTGCCATGGAGGTTAAGACACACCCGACTCAACATATCAATTATTTATGACATGCCCGCTTGGCCATCACTGGCTGCAGATGATCACAATACATTGCTTTTCCAATCAGTACTGCGGTAAATATAGTTTGCTCAGTAATCACCGTGTGACTCGTGATAAAACGTCATACAGTTAAAAAATATTTATATAATTAGGCCATGGAATTTTATTTACTTTTTTTCAGTTTTTAATATATGTCAGGGCTGGCCAAGCAGTCAGAGACTAAGCCAATTTTTTTACTGTATTACTGCAAAGAGCCACACACACCACGCGCGCGCATGCGCACACCCCCACACACACACTTTTTTGCCGAAAGATCGACTTTTGGAGCGACCAACCTCCCACGATCGACCCGATTGCGCACGTGCAAGCATAAGAACACACACACACACACACACACACACACACACACACACACACACACACACACACACACACAACCATGCAGTCGCGCACATATGCATGCGCGCCACGACGAGCAACAGCTGAAGCGCCCGAACATAAATGAAACCTAAAGACACAAACACACATCTTTTTTTTTCCCCCCATTTCCTCCTCCCACCGTCGACTTGGGACCAGTCTGCTGGTTCTTGGTCGATTGCGATCGACGTATTGGGCACCCCTGCCTTAATTAAAAACAGAGGTAATTTGCTGACTAGCTTAGCTCTTAGTGCCGTTGTGTGCGCATGAGCGGTGATTCAGTCATCTGATTGGTTGCCCTCTATGTCATTCAAGTAACGGGATTGATGATAGGCTGACGTAGTACGTTCTGTGCATTAAGCACCGTTGTTTGAATGGCGGCGCCATCGCCGAGGCGTTTTCGACAATTGTCGTGTGAAAGCCCGGGAGCTGCATTGAACCAGCCAAAGAGCCGCATGCGGCTCGTGAGCTGCGGGTTGGCCACCCCTGATATACAGTAATCAGTTGTTTGTGGTATCAGATCTGACCCATACAAAAAACGACTGAGATCTCAGATTAAACAAAAAATACGGGGTTCGTCAGGAAGAAAATGGAAATCCTTTCAACTGTCCTACCACCCTCCAGGGGATGGGTGGCTTTGAAGTCCAAGATGTCCTTCACCGATGTCCCACGTGGCATCCAGTCTACAGACTACGTAGTCCAATCTTTTGATGGTCTATGAGTCCTAAAAAAACAGCTTGCACGAAATGCGCAAGGCATTTACTCAATGTGTCTATAATCGGCTAGGGAAAATAATTGACTTGGTAAATCTAGCCCGGGTGAAGGCCACAGCGCTATTTGCCGTGAGCATATTAGCTTAGCTCGATGCTAATGCGCTTGCTAAGTAGCGCACGTGTCGGTACAATGGTTGGTCTTCTTTTCTTGTAAACAACACAGTTACATTTTAAATCAACAAAGAAACAAGATCTATTTTCAACAACTTCATTCCTGACTGTTTTTTTTTAGTGTTACAATTCGAATGCTAGGAATGCTAATCGGCCATACTCAACTAAAAAAAACACTCACCAAGAACGTTATCTCTTCTAAACCCTTCTCTCGCCTTGGAGAGAAAAGAGAAAGATTGCCACAGGATTCAACTTTACGACCACAGGTAGAAGTTCAAGGACCAGTTTTCATTTATCGTTTTTTTGTTCGACCCGCCTGGGAAGGTGCGAGAATGTTCTGTCTTTCTCGCGAACGAGTCCTCGCTCCTAGCGCTGCGGTGCGTTCGGGGTCCGTCGGAAACAGCAGTATCACAAACAAATATCACCTTACAGCAGGGGTCCCCAACCGCCGGTCCGCGGACCGGTACCGGTCCGCAGGGCATTTGGTACCGGGCCGCACAGAAAGAACTTGCCTTATTTCCGTTTTATTTATTTCGGAATACGAAATATGTTTTATTTTGAAAAATTACCGGATTCTCTGTTACATCCGTCTGTGTCACGCTTGACTCACGTCAAGGCACACTTCTCGGTCACGTGACCGATGACGCTCATAAACAAAACGCTGAAGCCCGCAAAATGAGTAAAAAAGCTGCTTGGAGATCGCAAATGACGGCGGCCTTAAAAGTACGTTCGAAACTACTGGATCATTGCAGAAAATCAAGCTCGGTGCTGTGGTGAGTCGTCATTTTCATGCACTTTGAATTTGCGTTGTATCGTATTTTGAAGGCATTAAACATTACCAGAGCGATAAGAGTGTTGCGACCAGATTAGACGCTCCTTGTGTTTATTATTATATTTCGAAAACACCACAGTTTTCATGCAGCTCATACCATATTATTTTGTTGTATTAATCCGCCACACCTTAAATGCCGGTCCCTGAAAATATTGTCTGACTTAAACCGGTCCGTGGGGCAAAAAAGGTTGGGGACCCCTGCCTTACAGAACTAACAAAAAAAATGACGGTATTAACCAGTCTGGGTTACAAAGGTTTCTCCCATGACGAGAGTAAACCGTGTAAAAAAACGTCAAACAAACACTAAAAAAGAATAATTGCGGGTGAGCAGCGGCAGCCAGACGCGCCAGCGTACACTCAACCCGGAAGTAAAACCTTTGAGTCATTTGGCATTTTTTTCTGAATATAGTAATTTGGGGAAAAAAAACGCGATGGACCGAGGCTTCGGTAGTCGAACCGTGAAATAGCGAGGGATCACTGTATTTTATTCTCTATTACGTTTTTAAGCTTATAGGTGTAGTGTGCCGAAAATTAGAAAGAGAACTTTGGGCACCCTCCAAAACAAGTCGGGACTACCAAACTACGACATGACTAAAACAACACAGTAAGATTCTGAATACAAAGGTCAGAGAAGTGATTAAACACAATAACATTAAAATATGTGTTTAAAATCAAGGTAGGATTCTACATTCCACAAGAGAGACCAAAAGAAAAGGAGGTGAGAGCCAACGACAAAAACTTAACAAAAAGTATTAATGTATTCATAAACTATAATTACACAGATTAGGCTCAAAATAGATGATTAAAAAATAATAATGATAATCAGTGGCGGACCCTGAGGGCCAGCAAGGTCTTCTCTGCTGGCCTAAACATTCTCAGAAAAGTAAATTTACTTTTATGTATTTCATGTTATTTTAAAATTTGTTATTTTGTTTTCATAAATATGTAAACAAAATTATTCTCTGTATTCTTTACGTCATATTATTTCCACTTAGTTGAGTGGCTTTCAGTGTTATTTTAAATAACATTGAAAGCCACTCGATAAATAACTTATTTATTATGGTAGAGTTTTTAACCAATCATATTTCAGCTAGCTTGCGTTACCAGGTAAATTAAACTTGCTCGGGGCCTTCAGATGAAACAGAGCAGGCCCCTGTGCGCTGTAAGTGAACGGGCAGAGTCAGGTTTCAATTGCCAATCAGATCACGAGTCTCAGACTCGTGATCTGATTGGCAATTAGGCTGATTGGTATCCTGTATCCTGACTTGTTCTCATCTGGTACTAGGGCTAGCTAGAAGGCCTTACGTCGAGACTGGCCGTGCGCATTCGGTGATTGGATTAGCGCCTTTTCTGCTTCCTGAGAATTGTATCCTGACTTGTTCAATAAAGATTTAAAAAAAAAAAAACATTGGATAAGCGCCCGCCCGCGAGAGCTATCAATGCATTTTAACCCAAAATGGCTGAAGGAGAAGACATTGATCTGGTTGCGGAACTACTTTCCACACAATTTTCAAGACGGACCTTCCACCAAAAGCTGGATATTGTGCAGAGGTCGCCCAACTCCTGGGCTAGCTAACCTGTCCCAGCAAGGAAAAGGG